GTGTAAAACAAATGATTTTTATTAAGTGGAATGATTCTTTTATCAAAACTAACAATTAGAAAATGGTCTTTTTAACTAACAATTGCCTAATGCTTTTACAGGGTAGAAAACTTGAACACGACTATACCTAACTGATTACAATTCTTAGATTACAATTTACTTATATTAAATCACTATCTCTAATTCGCTTAACAAAAATACAAAAACAAAGACAAAATAATGATAATAAAAACTCCGTTTAAAGCTAGCCCCTCTATGGTTATTTTAGGGCAGCTGATGGAGTTAGTCATAAATCTACTTTTACAACTTAACTCCTGAACTTCTATTTCTAACACTTATACTTAACCTAAATACAACACTACTACACAACACAAAATTATACAATTTACACAGTGTGGTTAACAGAACTTAGATACACTTTACAGAATATATGATTAATACAACTCAACTACTGACTAAGCTAACAATTGATAGATTTAAGTAATACTTACAAATCCAGCAATAATAACAACATGAAGACACACAAAAACTCGGAGCATGCTCAGGACTCGCGCACCCTTATCTTTGACTCGAAGGGTGGGGAAGGCAGCCTCAGGGTGATCAATCCTTCAGCTGGGCAAAAAAACCACGTGCCCTCAATACATAGAACCTCCGTCGAACAAAGGGGTTGAGGGTCTTTTATAACATAACCTGATATCCGGTACCTTATTAGGGTCAGTTCCCTGGCCGGGCCTGATAGGCTGGTAATGAGTTAACGTGAAATACTGCCCTATAGGATTTTTCATGATGCCCGCCTGATGGCCCCGTGGACAGTGCTGGGTGTGGGCATGGTCTGTGTGCATGGCAGTTGCGTTTTATCTCCCTATGCCTACCTCCCTGCTTTCAAGGACTGGTCAAGAGACTCTTATTTATCTCTTGCAGCTTGTGTTCTATTTTTTCATGCTCACCTCCCTGTTCTATGATGCCTACAAGGCCAAATTCCGTTTTACAGAAAGCTGCATTGTGCTTCCTATGCTTCTCTGAATATCTCACAGTCTGGGTTTTCTGTGAGGGGCCTTGTGTGGCAGGATGGGCGATACGCGAAGGCCATGGACAGAAAAAGCCTGCTTTCCAACAATATCCACCTCTCCCCCTAGCTTAGTGTCATCTGCAAACTTGCTGAGGGTGCAATCCATCCCCTTGTCCAGGTCATTAATGAAGATGTTGAAGAAAACTGGCCCTAGAACCAATCTTTGAGGCACTCCACTTGAAACTGACCGCCAACCTGACATCGAGCCGTTGATCACTACCCTTTGGGCCCAACAATCCAGCCAGCTTCCTATCCACCTTACAGTCCATTTAGCCAATACATATTTCCTTAACTTGCTGGCAAGAATATTGTGGGAGACCGTATCCAAAGCTTTGCTAAAGTCAAGGTAGATCACATCCACTGACTTCCCCATGTCCACAGAGCCACTTACCTCATCATAGAAGCTAATCAGATTGGTCAGGCAGGACTTGCCCTTTGTGAATCCATGTCGACTATTCCTGATCACTTTCCCCCTTTCCATGGGCTTCCAAATGGATTTATTGAGGATCCCCTCCATGATTTTTCAGGGGACTGAGGTAAGGCTAACTGGTCTATAGTTCCTTGGATTGTCCTCCTTCCCTTTTTTAAAGATGGGCACTACATTTGCTTTTTTCCAGTCATCCAGGATTTCTCCTGGTCTCCAGGAGTTTTCAAAGCTAATGACCAAAGGCTCCACAATGACATTTCCCAACTCTCTCAATGCCCTTGGATGCATTAAATCTGGACCCATGGATTTGTGTATGTCCGGCTTTTTAAAATAGTTTTTAACCTGTTCTTTCTCCACCAAGGGCTGCCCACCTCCTTCCCATACTGCATTGCCTAGTGCATTTGTCTGGGAGCTGCCCTTGTCCGTGAAGACAGAGGCAAAGTAACCATTGAGTACTTCAGCTTTTCCCACCTCATCTGTCACTAGGTTACCTCCCTCATCCAGTAAGGGCCCCACACACTCTCTGACCACCCTCTTATTGCTAACATGACTGTAGAAACCTTTCTTGTTCCCCTTCACATCCCTTGCCAGGTGTAATTCCATTTGGGCTTTCCCCTTCGTGATTACTCCCCTGCATTCTCAAGCAATATATTTATACTCCTCCTAATATATTATTATGAATATTAGTATTACTCCTGTCATCTGAAGAAGTGGGCTGTGCCCACGAAAGCTCATGATACCATCTACATGTTTTGTTAGTCTCTAAGGTGCCACACCGTGGTGTTTAGTCCCAGAGCATTCAGGGACTATGCTCAGAGGAATCATAGAATACTAGGACTGGAAGGGACCCCGAGAGGTCATCAAGTCCAGTCCCCTGCCCTCATGGCAGGACGAAATACTGTCTAGACCATCCCTGATAGACATTTGGAGATGAACACCATCAGATTCCAGTGTCTTCAGTGCAAATTGGGGCTGCTAATCACATCTGAAAAATAGAGCCTTTAATTACACAGAAAATTAAGCAATGATTTAGAACAATCCTCTTATTTTAAACTTTTATTTTTAATTTGAGTTTTAACGTCATTAACAACACAGAATTTAAAATAAAAAAAATTAAAACTGTGGGAAGAAATGATTTCTGCAAATGAACAGCCTGGTCCACTACTTTTAAAGCAGGGGTTCCCAAACTTTTTGACACGGGGACCAGTAAATCCATTCACAAGCTTTTGGAGGACTGGTAACATTCATTTGCATATTTGCATATTCATTAAGCAAATGAAGAATATTCTAATAAGTTGTTTCGGGTCCTCCCAAAGCCCCCAGTGCCAGCTTTAGCAAGGCTTTTGATACGGTCACCCACAGTATTCTTGCCAGCAAGTTAAGGGAATATGGATTGGATAGATGGACTGTAAGATGGATAGAAAGCTGGCTACACCAGGGTTTCCCAAACTTTTTACTTTGGTTGGTACCTGTTTTTTTTTCAGTACTGTTTTTACAGTCCCGCTTCCCACCGGCCGATTCGCTCCCGATCTCCTCTGGCCAGCCCTGGTGCCCCCTCCAGCCCTGCTCCGGCGGCTGGTTCTCCCGTCCTCCTCCTCACGATCTCTCCCGTCCAGCCTCCCCCACCCCATCCAGCCCTGCTTCCAGAGGCTGGTTCTCCAGTCCTTCTCCTCCCGCTCTCCCCCGGCCCTCCCCCCAGCCCTCCGGCCAGCCCCGGTTCCACCGCCCGTCCTCCCCGATCTCCGTGGGACAGCCCCACTGCCCCCAACCCTGCTTCTGCCATCTGCCCACCCCCCGCCCCATCTCCGTGGGACACCCCCACTG